ATATATATATATATATATATATATATATATATATATATATATATATATATTACATTACAAAGTAACGCCGGAAATTCTTCTCGAGATCATAAAAGAATAAGTCAAATAGACTCATCATCCTGTAGTTATTTTGATGTCAACATGACGTGAGTTACATTTTTGCCTATAATATCACAATTATCATCTAAACATCCATTTTTACCTTTTCTTATGAAATTTTATTGCGCACAACGTCAATTTATTTGATGTCAATTTTTCATCAAATTGAATTATTTTTTTGACGCAATGACAACAAACGACGGTTTTGATGTCATATTGACATCATTTTGACTAAGCTGTTTTCACTGGGTAAGTATCTCTATAGTGATCTTGATACTTTCATATAAATTTAATTAAAATTGTAGGTTTTGCTGCTGGTGTAAAGTTGGCATCTTATCTTTTAACACTGCAAGTTTTCACGTAAGTTCTACTTACACCCGCAGCAGTTCTACAGTTAGAACCAATGTAAAACTACCGGAAGAAACTATCGAAAAAGTAGACTAGAACTGCTAGTATCACAAAGGTTACTCAAAGAGAAGGATGCCAGCGGTGAATTAAAAATGATTTAAAAATAGTTAAAAACTGGAACTAGATTTCGACGAAACCTAGGTTCAAAAAACCGCTCAGAACCATAGACTTCTACATACTAGAGAACCTCAAATAAAGAGAATCGCCAACTTGGTCACGTGACCAGCTGATAAGTATATATACGGATTTAGACATTGCGATGCCAATGGAGAACAAATGCTTATATATATATGGTTTTGCATCGACGTCGCAATATCCAAATCCGTACATGTTTATGCCAGTCAATCGCAAAGTAGCTGGTCACATGACCAAGTTGGCGATTTTCTTTACTAGAGGTTCTCTACTATATACTACTAGACTGCTCTCTCTCTCTTCTCCTTCTAACTCCGACTCAGTACATAACCCTGAAAAATATATACAGAAATCTCGCGCATACGCCTATCTGGTGATCCAACATTTACAATGTAGCATCTCGTTTTAGGCATTATTGCACTCTGATATAGGATAGGTATACAACAGATCAATCACTTATTTTTACAAATTTTTTACTCCATTCAAAAAAAGCTAAACTTGGCTCTGATGTATTAAATACAATAAAATAAGGAAAAGGAAAGAACATTTAAGACCCAGGCACAGTTGTAAAAATGCAATTGATATATTATAATAACGGAGATAAAAAATTACAAAACTATTACAAATTTTTTACTGTAACCTATTTCACTGATTTTTTCACTCTGTACGTACACAAAAATTTAAGCAGACAGCATCGGCCATATTACATTTATATCCCCTCTTCTTCTGGATCATCAGTTTCAGGCATGCGCAGGTGTCTTTTTTCCTGTGCGTAATACATACTTTTCGGGGTCAATTTTACATAACACTATATAAGGAAGTTAGCAGTCTTGTAGTTATATAGAAGTGCTTGGAATGCTATGGACTTGGTTTCCCGAAAAGATACGCGCTAGAGATGGCGTGCGCGTTTATATTTCTCTGCACTCTAAGTCCGGTATTCATAGTCGAATCTTATTTCAAGACCGTTTTAAGTAATGTCTTAAGATGCGAATACGGCTTTGTGATTCGTTCATGACATTTTAAGACAGTGCTTAAGATGATCTTAAATATAAGATCGGACTATGAACAATATTTAACGTAAAAGACAATAAGAGTTCAAGCACAAGTTGAATAGTGCTATTAAAATTATTAAAAAATAGTGACCCAATCTCACAAAGAGAAGAAATTTATTAATCATCAGAAAGCTTTCCGATGATTAATAAATTTCTTCTCTTTGTGAGATTGGGTCACTATTTTTTAATAGTTTTAATAGCACTATTCAACCTGTGCTTGAACTCTTATTGTCTTTTACGTTAAATATTGATGATACTCAAGAAAAGTTTTTTTATTTCTTTTAGTTCGGACTATGAATACCGGCCTAAAAAGACTAATGCACTGTACTGTAATATATTAATGTACTGTATAATATTATATTAATTGATGTCAATTACTACAATACTCAAAGATTTATTCTGTTTTCTTTATTCATGATAGATCGCACATTTGTGAAAATAAAATGCTTGTATGACTGTAATGACATCACGCTTGCAATATTGGCTGTAATATCAGAACACGGCACATGTCAATTAAATAACAACCTAGTTGTCTCATCTCCCTCTATGTAACCGGACGTCTTCGTTATCGGAACTTGTCTATTCGCGAGATTGTACGCATATACGCAATCATGTTCCTGAATAATCGTTACAGTTGCTAATTTTTACATCACCACTTTTCTCATTTTTTATTTTTATATATTCGTGGAAGATAAAATGACTTGTTTTCTTGTTATCACCTAGTAAGCAAGAAATCATTAATACAACGTTGCTGCAATGATATCGAAAAAAATGTAATATTGTCAAATATGTAGTGTTTAAGGGGGGAAATCCAATTAGAACTTTCAAAAAATCGAATTTTTTTTTTTTGCATAAAATGTTTATTTAACATTGTAAGAATATGTTCCCAACGTTTTAAATCGAAATTCGCAGCCGTTCGGAAGTTATGGCCTCCGAGCGCAACAAATCTCTTGAGCAGCGTCGAGGCTCTAATAGCACGCAGCAGGTATACTCACCCGGAGCGGGGATTTTACCTTTCAGGGCTGCGATCCAAAACGTATAGAGATGTAATTATAGTTTTACTGTAGGTTTTGGAACGCACCCCTGGTAGATGGCTTTTATTTCTATTGTTACGTTTAGTCGAAACCGTTGGGTCCGTTGGCGCTGGCATCGAGCAGAACCGGTTTTCAGTTTAGCTCCGAAGTTCGGCCTGTACAAAACGACAGTGCAAATTCGAAATGTCC